AAACAAGCGTTTTTTTAAAACTAAAACTTGTATTGTAAAGAATAACCAAGTTCAGTCGGAACGCCGACTTATGTGCCAGAGGCGTACAGTACAGGAAAATAAGATCAAATGAGTTTTTGAGCGGTTTTAAAGGCATTTTATTGCGCCGTTACAATTTGTGTTACTTTAGTTACGTGTTTGACATAACATATACATAATCATGATCACTGTTAGAATTTCACATAATTTTGGAAATTATATGCGTACGCCTATGAGCGGCAGGCGCAGGATAAGCGTAGACAAGCAGAGCGCGCGAGGATGGGCAAAAAAACAAATCCTTAGTTTTGTTTACGAAAAGAAGGCGGTTGGATCTGCGAGCCCCCACTCTAAATGGCACACAATTATCTCTCTCGGATGAAGTTAACTAAACTGGTCAACATTAAGTTCGGTCCATTCAATTTTTTGCCTTATTTTTAAACAGCTGCAACTTTTTTAAAAATAAATATTTTTGAACGTGGTTTGTGGCATTCAAAAGCGCGTCTCTTCTACATTAGGCCGCATGTCACATTTTTGGTGGGAAAGCTATTTTCATGATATACGGGGTGATAAGCAATGTCTTGCAAAAAAGCCAAAATTTCGTGTGTGTGACACTTTGGCAAAAAAATTTTTTAGTTGCTATAATATGGTTCGTTACTTAGGTTACATCAATATCTCTAGACGTTTTTGTCACTTTTTGGATTTAGGCCCTTTGGCCTTAGATACATTACTTAACATCAAATTTTGGTTATGCAATCTTTAAAATGCTATAATTCGAAAACGAAATGACGGATTTTCACGAGCGCTTCAAATCAGGAAAGCCTATTTCATGTAGATTTTCTATGACCTAAGAAATTTACGCAAGGTTTCAGTTTTAAGATTATACCTTTCAGTTTTAAGATTATACCAGGATACAATAAAATAAAATCGCTAACGGTACAAAAAATCTCGCCGGTGGTATATGGAATCCTTTATAGCAATAGGTTTCCATAACAACCATGGACCAATGTTGTCATGGAACCCTATTTAGCATGAAACTCTATGGCATGACATTTTGCGTCAACTGCAAATTTTATCTTGTATCAGTTACAGTCCGTCGATTTTAATCTGATACTCCAAAGGAATGTAAGCTGGTGGCTCCCTACATTAGAATGCCAAAAATCTCCTGACGTCACACCTGTTTTTGTCATATGCTTCACCCCCTCGCTCCTCATACGGAAAGTGTCAGATTAAAAACGACGGATAATAAATTTTATTTTACCAAATGGTTAAACTTGGCCAAAATGAATTGAGAAATGTTATGAGGTAATTTTGAGCCCATAAAATTTATCAAGAAAAGACGCATACGCATACCTACCTAATTTCGAGTGTGAAAAGGGTACTAGCCAGTGAAACCTAGCTTATGGCAGTCCAAGTTATCGCTACCAACACCGTTGCGGACAAATGAGAAAAACAACATCAATGCAGGATCGTTTGATTGCTCGTAATGAAACACGGAGTAGAACCCTTATTGCCATCAAACACTGCCAGAGCTTTCAAGCAGCAAGTGGCATAAGGATATCAACGCAAACCATAAGGCGTAGACTTCACGAGCGTGGACTTACGGCAGAAGAAGGAAACATGGATGCAAGGGAACTGTTTGTAGGTGCCGGTGTGGTTGTTAAGGGTGGTGTTATGATGAATGGGAGAACGGATTTGGTTGTTTAATTGAGGGAATCGATGAATGCGGAATGGTATCGAGACTGTATCAGTGATATTATTATTCCTTTCCACAAAACATTGGAGACGATTTTTTCCTGGTGGACGACAATCTCGTATTTGTGAAATATTTTAATAATGGTTCTGCGCATTTATAGTGTCTTTTTTACGTCCAATGATTCACCCAGTATTTAGGGTTTCCGTGTTGGATACCTATTTGTCTATTGTTGGCCTGGTATGATGTTAAAACTGAAACTTTGCGTAAATTTCTTAGGTCACAGAAAATCTACATGAAATAGACTTTCCGAATTTGAAGCGCTCGTGAGAATCCGTCATTTCGTTTTCGAATTATAGCATTTTAAAGATTGCATAACCAAAATTTGATGTTTAGTAGTGTATCTAAGGCCAAAGGGCCTGAATCCAAAAAGTGACAAAAACGTCTACAGATATTGATGTTACCTTAGTAACAAACCATATTGTAGCAACTAAAAAAATTTTTTGCCAAAGTGTCACACACATGAAATTTTTGCTTTTTTGCATGACATTGTTTATCACCCCGTATATCATGATGTAGCCTAATCTAGGAGAAACGCGCTTTTGAAAGCCGCAAACCGCGTTCAAAAATATTTATTGTTTAAAAAAGTTGCAGCTGTTTAAAAATAGGGCACAAAATTGAATGGACCGAACTTAATGTTGACCAGTTTATTTAGGGGTTACCCTAGACCGCAAACTTACATGGAACAACCATCTGAACAAAACATTACCACGAGCTACGGCGGCTACTCGGACATGCCGAAAACCCGTGTGAAAGTCATGGGGGATAAGACCAAAAATGGTATACTAGATTTACCAAGCGGTTATGTCAGACCCATTGTCACATACGCCTCGTTAGTATGGTGGCCAAAGACTGTGCGAATTACTGCAGAGGACAGTCTACCTAAAGTACAAAAGCTGATCTGTCTAGAAATAACAGTAGCTATGTCAACCTGCCCCACCGCAGCCTTAGTGGCGCTGCTGAACATGCCTCCTCTTCACCTACAGGTGAAAAGAGACGCCAGAATAGATGCCTATATGCTATTCCAGATAAAAAGATTTGAACTTGGTGATCTGAATCGCCACTCACGCATCCTTCGGTCTATAAAGCTCGAGGGCCAAAGTAAACCAACAGATCATATTATAACATCACTGGACTTTGACATCCCATATGAAGCACGCAAAGCTACTACAAGCGGACAACGCATCACTGTGGTACACGGATAGTTCGAAGCTAACGGAAGGACTTGATCTGGTAATAATTGGACCAAACTTGAAACTCTCCTTAGCAATGGGCTGAACGCCCACAATATTTCAAGCCTGTACATACTGGCCATGAATATCTGTGCCCAATAGAGCCTAAAAGAGGCCTTTTAAGAGGGCACATTTACATAATGTCCAACAGTCAAGCGATTCTAAAGGCTCTAGGAGCCATCAAGAGCATTCGCAGCTAATTCAGGAGGGTAAAAATATCCTTTAGCAACTTGTTTCCAATTGGCTGGGAGAAACAAAGTAACCCTGATGTGGGTGCCAGGACAACAGGGCATAGAGGGCAACAAGCAGGCAGACCGTCTCGCAAAGCAAAGGCGCTATAACACCTTTTCAAGGCCTGAGACAGGCAAAGAGGTTCATATCCATCTCAGCAGGGAGGTCTGAACAACTTCCTGACATGAACAGAAGATACATTAGAACAGTCGTTGGTCTGTTCACTAAACACTGCCTGGGGAAATCTAAATCTAAAAACAATAGGCAACTCAGACAAAGACCCTTGAAGATCTTAGGAAGCTACAGAATATTTGATTTATGAATGCCCTGCTCACTCCTGCAAAGGGCTGTAATACCTTGAAGGGGTACGGCTAACACCCCAAGAGGTGGGCACGGGGGCACGGTGGGTACTTTACCACCCAGGAAGCTGGTTTTCTTTGGGAGAAGCCTACAAATCTTGGACACCAACTAGAAGAAGAGTCACGCACAAAATATCTGGAAAGGTAGCAGTGTTTAAGCGGCTGGAAAAAGATTTAGCGACTCCAAATGCAATCTACAATCTATAAACAAATCCTAGAAACTTGGATCGAAACTTATTTTCACACTGGAGTCGGAAAGAAATCAAAAATTATTGCTTTATCACCTACAGCAAGCTTAGAACAGCGAAAACATCACCATTATTAGGATTTCACGCTATTTCCGGATGTGATATAACCGGAAATTCCTATAAAAAGGGTAAGAAAACATTTCGGAAAGCCTTTTGGCATGCTGGAAATTCTTTTTTACTTGCTCTTCTCATTGAAAATTATCGGTTCAATGATGGATAAATATATCACTGTTATATAAGAAAAATATGTATTGCCAATATGTAACCAATCTTGGCTATATGCTGCCGATAAAAATATTGTTTGTGCATATTGGCCCATGCTTGGATAAATATATTATTAAAATGATGAAAGAAGTTGTATTGCCTATAAATGTCCAATGTTGGCTAAAAAATTCCAATATTGGGCCAACATACAATATTGGTCCAATGTATCCGCAACATGGGACCAACATTGTGTGCTACTGGGGAGTCTTTATATTTTAAAACATTTCAAATTTTATAAATAAGTGCTTTCCAACAATAAATTATGCGCTTGCGCAGTCTATGATCTATCTCGTAGTAGTTCTTTCTCTTTTTTAGTGTGTTCCTACATAAATAAAGACAAAATAAGGACAGATTTAGTAACCACTAAACAACCATATTTAAAAAATAATAATAATTGAAAATAAGGTATTGCTACTTACGTCAACTACGCGACACTGCCAATAACATTCCGACTGAAAATAGTTACACCTTAGTGCATAAGACACCCTTTAAAAAAAACTGCTTACCTGCATACCGACCGATAAAGCACACGGGAATACAAACCAGACCGGACTATAACCACTTTTCCAGGAACCAGAGTAATTTGATTACTTTCGGACCGCGAAACCACAACCCTGGTTATATTCGAACTACAGCCTAAGAGCCTAGAAGCTCCTTTGGAGTTAGTACAGTGATCGATAAAAACTCGAGTCACAGATCCGCGTCTTACAATATTTGCTCGAAACGGTACCTAACCATTTTGGATAAGACATTCTCTTAATCTTCTAATGTTGTTCTTAAAGGCATTCAAAATTCGATGTTCCAAGTCTTGAAGATCGAATACTGGAGTGTCGCAAACAATAGATCTAATGTATCCCTACAAAAAATCCTTAGGAGCTAAGCCTGGAGACCTTGCTGGCTACCTAACAGGTCCATTGGTAAATGGAACATCTTCCCTAAAAAGTTCGTGTAAATGTTGCGATATGTTCCTTGTAGGGCGGGGCACCGGCGTCTTGTTAAAAGTAACTGAAGGCCAAGATTGTCTAAATCATTCTGAATTTGATTTATAAGGAATCGCAAATACCTCCTGTGAGAGATCCTTGAAATAAAATTGGTCCACAAATCCGATTTCTCAAAATCGCCGCCCAAACATCAACACCAAATCTCTTCTGAAACCGATTAAACTTGATGTACTTGGAGGATTGTATGTTGATGTTGCGGTGCGGGATTCTGTAACAAAGACAGATAGTTATCTATGACACTTGCTGTCCTCTTCTCTCTTTCCAAAATCAATAGACAGGGGACGTCAATAGAGATAGCGAAAATATCTCTATTCGTTACAGAATCCCAGCACAGTCTTACAAGTCTTCGATTATTTCATTACGAGACCAATACCGTGAATTCTGCCTGTTGAACATTGCATTATTGTAAAAGCGGACAAAGTGGACAAAATTGCGACTTCACCAAATTGTTATCGTCATTATTCCTATTAAGGAACCGGTGCAATATTGTAGTTATTCTTCTTGCCTCGTCCACGTCATAATAATGTTGGTGCAAATTGTATATTTATTTGAAAGATCGGTAATTATGATTTTCCAAAATTCTTCCTACTGTTTCTCTTGATACATCGACTTCTTGCGGAATTTCTTTAAGGTCTTGGGTGAGACATAATAGTCCGAGTCCGAGAGCCAGCGCCAAAAAAGTGCAAGAGTTTCATGAAAGCTGAACATTTAATATAAGCTTGTATTTGTGATGTATATAACTATACTCGAGTCAGCAAGTGAAGTAGCAACAAGATACGTCCACGCACCTTCGAATGTATTAAAAATTAATCGCGATGAAAGAGTTTCATGACAGCTGAAAATCATTCAATATATTGTTTATTTAATAAGAAACATGATGGACATGGTCAGATAGCATTATGTTAGAACAACTAGAGTCAGCATGGCTAGATTCCGGTCGTATATTAGAGGTAACTGAAACTGTTTCATGATGGTTCAAATTTGGTATGCTATTATGTAATTCAATACTATAATCGAAAATATCGGTCAGACTTCAATTTGTTGGAACTTTGCCAGTCAGCAATCAATTCAATTTCCAATATTGTATACTTACAGGGCTCGCAGCTGAGCGCGCGTCGGTCTATAAGTCCTAAACTAATAAGGTTAGGAATTTAATTTATATGTCAACCTATACTGGTTGTGAGACTCTATTTTAGGAAAATATTTTTGAGTATACAGGGTGGCTCAATTAGGCGTGACGATATAAAAGTCGTTAATTTTAAATGATACACCTTGTATGTGATTGCATATTTGGATTCTACGTGAAATTTTGAGCAGATTTTATATGATATACCCCTTACCTGAGTTCAACTGTTTTGGAAATATTGACAGTTAAAAATTTACTTTTTTGCAATTTTGACCGGCTGTGAAATCTAAACGATCAATTATAAAAGAATACCGATCTCACCTACATTCTTATCTAAGATTCTCATAAATTGTCATTTGACACCAACTTTGAATTTTACCGGAGGATAAATTTAATTGGAATTTTCAATCATGAATTAAATTCAAAGTTGGTGTCAAATAATATATTATGAGGGTCAAAGATGAGAATGTAAGATCAGTTTTCCTCTAAAATTAACCGTTTAGGTTTTACAGCCTGTTAAAGTTACAAAAAAGTCAATTCTCAACTGTCAATATTACCAAAACAGTTCCAAAACTTAGGTATTGGGTATATCACATGAAATCTGCTCAAAATTTCACGTAGAATCCAAATATGCAATCACTTACACAGTGTCTCGTTTAAAAAAACGACTTTTATATTGTCCGCCTAATTGAGCCACCCTGTATACTCAAAAATATTTTGCTAAAATAGACTCACGACCAGTATAGGTTGACATATGAAGGAAATTCCTAAACTTATTACTTCAGGACTTATAGACCGACGCGCGCTCAGCTGCGCACCCTGTAAGTATACAATATTGAAAATTGAATTCATTTCTGACTGGCTAAGTTCCAACAAATTGAAGTCTGACTGTCATTTTCGATTATAGTATTGAATTACAAAATAACATACCAAATTTGAACCATCATGAAACAGTTTAAGTTACCTCTATTATGCGACCGGAATATAACCAAACTGTCTCTAGTTATTCTTACATAATACTATCTGACCATGTCCGTCATGTTTTCTATTAAGTAAACAATGGATTGGAAGATTTTCAGCTGTCATGAAACTCTTTCATTGCGATTAATTTTTAACACATTCGAAAGTGCGTGAGCGCAGCTTGTCCAGCTACTTCACTTGCTGACTCGAGTATAGTTATATTCATCACAAATACAAGCTTATCTTAAATTTTCAGCTTTCATGAAACTCTTACACTTTTTTGGTTCTGGCTCTCTGACTATAAGAAATTGCTACTTTTAAAGCATGGGTACACCTTATCTAGGAAAATATTAAATATAAGTGGTCCCAAATAAGATCCCTGGCTGGTGGAACGACAATTATTGGGACACTTTGGTAATTATTGACTCTTACTAATTAGGAACGATTTTTTAGGTAGTCATAAGAAGTCCAGGATAGCAGGCTACCGCACACACCGACTCTAGCTTTCTCAGTAAGACAGCATGATTCACCTTATTGAAAGCTTCAGAGAAGTCCGTGTACATGGACCGTTCCACCTTGCTCAAAAATAGACGTTATATACTCTGAGCATCATAGCAAGTTCAGATCAGTGAACCTTCGGGGACGAAAACCAAACTGTTATTCTATCAAGCAATAATTCAATTCCTTACATCTAGTGATTCTGGAATTTTAAATTTTCAACACAGGCATTTATTGAAAAAGTTCTTTTCTATCTATAGAAGAGAACTCGGAGCAGATTACCAGAGGCCTTCACCAAGAAGCTGCGCTGTTCTGATAACGGATCAAGTAATGACTTGATCAAAAATTATTTTGTCAGCGTACCTACTCACCCTGCACGAATGAAATCCCCTTCTCGAGATAGAATCTGCAACAATACGCCTTTTGATGCTTAATTTCTTCGAGCTGGTCCGAATATGTTAGTTGCCTATAGCTGTTGAAGCAGATAGGTATTTGGCGCTTGGTACAAGGCAGAGCTGGGCAAAGCTCTCACTGAAAGGGCTTGAAGCACTAAGCCCTAAGCCCTTTCTCAAAGGGCTTTCAATTCCAAGCAAAAATTCCTTATTATTTTCAAAAGTGCTTCACAAGCACAAAGCCCTCAAAGTGCTTTGGGCTTGGCAAGCACAAAGCCCTCAAAGTGATTTGAAAAGGGCTTGTGCTTCAAGCCCTTTTCGAAAGTGCTGGGGTGCTTTAAAAAGTGCTGTGAAGCTCTTTAAATGTGCTTGAAGCTCTTTAAATGTGCTTGAAGCTCTTTAAATGTGCTTGAAGCTCTTTAAATCTGCTTGAAGCTATTTGAATGTGCTTGAAGCTCTTTAAATGTGCTTGAAGCTCTTCAAAAGTGCTTGAAGCTTTTCAAAAGTGCTTGAAGCTCCTCAAAAGTGCTTGAAGCTCTCCAAAAGTGCTTGAAGCTCTTCAAAAGGGCTTGAAGCTCTTAAAATGTGCCTAAAGTACTTTGAATTTGTGATACAATTCTCAAAGTTGCAAAAACTACTGCGCATACACTCATCAGTTGAATTAGTATAGTAGAAATAGAAATGAACTTTAAATTTTACAAAGTAGCAGTAGTATTTTATTTTATTTTTTGAGTGGTAATGGTAATGGTAATTCAATTATGAGGTTTTCAAATTGTTTATTGAGGAAAAGTGAAAAAAATTCCAGTGATAAAGTTAAATAGGGTACCTTATATAAATTAATTATTTATTTAAACAATCAGTCCATTAATTTTTTTTAAATTCAATTCTAAGCTCAAACCCAAAACCTCCATTATTAATAAAGAAAAGAAATTGGAGGGTCCTAGTTCAAATAATAGAAAAAAAATTAAGCCACAAAACACATCGATTCAAAATTTTTTGGTGGGGGATAGGTTAAATGATGGTCAATTCAAATTCCTTTCAAAGTGCTTCAAGCTCTTTTGAAGTGCTTGAAGCCCTTTCAAAGTGCTTCAAGCCCTTTCAAAGTGCTTCAAGCCCTTTCAAAGTGCTTCAAGCCCTTTCAAAGGGCTTCAAGCCCTTTCAAAGTGCTTCAAGCCCTTTCAAAGTGCTTCAAGCCCTCTAAAAGTAATTGAAGCTCATTGAAAAGGCTTGAATTACTTTTTTTCAATTAAAATTACCAAGCACTTTTCTGATGTAATTGACTTTGCAAGCCCCAATTACAAATATATAAAAGGGCTTGAAGCACAGGGCTTTCAAGTCCTCAAAGTGCTTCAAGCACTTTTACAAGCACAAAGCCCTCAAGCCCTGCCCAGCTCTGGTACAAGGTTGATCAAGACGTAGGAAAACATGAGTATGAAAATACGCCGGAGCTTGGGTCCCATGTAAGGACTAGAATTTTGATAAAACTAGTCTCATCATCATCAGAAAAGCAATATATTGGAACTTCGCTATGAGAAGTCGGCAAGGAGAACTGGATGGTGGCTGGCCCACTTGCTGAGTTGAATACCACCCTTTTTCAAGATCTAATGGACGGGTTCTTTCTGTTAGGTAGGTAATTATTTACGTAATTGCTCCTTCTGAGGACATAAGACGCTTCCAGGAATCTAATTTTTTCTCGATTGTCTAGTGTTCCTGAAGAGCTCTCGAAGTTAATAGGCCAAAGATCGAATGCCATAGTCATAAAATACACTATTAAATCCTCGATTGACTGTCATCAGCAAATACTTCATATCATGTATAGCTATTATTCGATAACAATAATACTTTCAATTTAATATTTAATTTGTTGAAATTTATTAGGTATCGCATTTCCGGTATATCAGCTTTAAACAGTTCCATATAATTCCATTGTTGTTATTCCGAAGAGCATGGATGAATGATATCCAAAACGGGATCAAAATAAATTTTAATTTGATCCCATTTTAAAAGCCCTTTTCCAGTTTATTTCATAGCATTAAATCAGTACA